TGAACAGTCATCCAACTCGGAATTCCAACTCGGGAACTCGGCCACTTTCTAGAGCTCCTACAAAGATCATACACGTAACGTTAGCTAGTGAGCCAGCCAGCTAATGTTAGCTAGCTAGCTAACAGTATGCTTTAACTTGCAATGAAAACGTAGCTAGACTCTTACCCGTATATATGTGTAACATTGTTGCTTCCGTCCTTCTCCTCGCCCCTACCTGGGCTTGAACCAGGGACCCTCTGCACACATCGACAACAGTCACCCTCGAAGTGTTACGCCCCTGAAAAAGGGGAGAAATAATCATGAGAGCAATGCAGTTATGTTTCCTCAATGAAAACTTTAGTATAATGAGGAAAAAGACCATGATTTCCCCAGAAAGTTGGGTGGAGACCAGAGCAATCGATCTCAGGCTCATAGATTAAGAGCATTTAGTAGATCACAGATTAACACTTTTACCCTTAAATTAGGCACCACAAAATAAAGTAGTCAATATAACGTTTACATATTCCTCTTACAATATTTACCCTTTGTACACTTGATGGATTTTAACACAATTATGAATTTTATCAATCTCTATGAACTAGTACTGAATGCATGATCTTTTTAACCTTAGATATTTTAAGATCCTTACATACCATGAACTTACTAATACTTTTTTAGTGTATAACAGTCTATGAATATGTCCTTTAACCTGTCACAGAAGCACCGTTACCCGTCGCTCCACAAAAGCCACGGCCCTTGCAGAGCAAGGGAAACAACTACTTCAAGGTCTCAGAGCGAGTGACGTCACCGATTGAAATGCTACTAGCGCGCACCGCTAACTAGCTAGCCATTTCACACTGGTTACATATGGATGAACGCTTCTCCCTCTGTCATGGATGCCATGGTTGCCCTTAGTTTGAAGATGTAATCCGGAGACAGGTGTTTTATACAACAGCTTTCTTTCTGTGTTCTCTTTTTGGACTCTCTCCGCATTTGGCAATCATCTCATTGCACTGATTTCAAAACTCGGTCAACTTCTTCCGTGACAACGACACCGTTTCTTCCCCACCATTGTCATCAGAAGACTCTACAATGTCTGGTACAATTAAAATGTTTTTACGTAAATCAGGGATTTCTTCATTGTCTGATTCATTTTCAGAGTCAAAGAGAGTCAGCATGGCACGATCATCCTCTAGAAAGTAGTCCATCACGACGTTTTCCCACTGAGCTTTGTCGATAGCGCTATTAACTTCAGGGCAGCAATGTTGAGAGCAGTAGCAAAACTTTTTCAGTTCTTCATGATATCTTTCCAAAAAAGCTGCGGTAGATAGGATTATCCACACATAATTAGCAGCTCATATTATAGACAGAAGCATGTTACATGGCAGACCAATCCGAACTCATCTCTCGGCATATGATATGATACGAATTCTAGTTAGGCGGCTAACGTTAGCTAGGCTAGGGGTTAGGGTTAAGTTTAGGAGTTAGGGGAAGCTAAAAGGGTTAGGGTTAGGGGAAGGGTTACCTAACATGCTAAGTAGTTGCAAAGTAGCTAAAAAGTAGTAAGTAGTTGAAAAGTTGCTAATTAGCAAAAAATGATAAAGTTGTCCGTGATGAGATTCGAACTCGCAACATTTTGTTTGCTAGACATTCACGTTATATGCCCACCCATCCACTCCGACCAGCCGCCATACTTTGTTTTTGCCTTAAGTAACCATCTGTCTTATGTAACCAAACATAACATATCATACTGATTTGAGTGTCCCGGAGTTACATTTACTATGTTATGTCTAGTCTATAAGACCAGGCTGGCTGCCAAGGCAGCAGCTCCTCTTCATGGGGTCCAGTCACATTAAGGCACATCACAAAATAAACAAACAAAAAACAAAATAAAGCAGTACATCACATCACCCCACCACTACATATCCACAGCACAAAATGTACAATACCACCATAAAACAATATTTATATTTATGTGTGTAGAGTGCGTGTGTGAGTATGTGCCTATGTGTCTCTTAACAGTCCACGTTGTTCCATAAGGTGTAGTTTAATCTGTAAAAAAAAAAAACTGCATGAGTTACTTGATGTTGAATGGCGTTCAATGTAGTCATGGCGCTGTATAGTACTGTGTGTTTCCCGGAGTCTGTTCTGGACTTGGGGGCTGTGAAGAAACCCTTGGTGGGGTACATCACTGCGGCCGAGCTCCCTGCCATCCCAGGACCTCTTTATCAGGCAGTGTCAGAGAAGGCCCGAAAAAGACTCCGGCCACCTAAGCCATAGACTGTTCACCGTGCTACTGTCCGGAAAACAGTACCGCAGCATCGGCTTTCGATCCAACAGGCTCAGAGACCGCTTCTACCCCCAAGCCATATGACTGCTAAATAGTCCGGGTAACCATTGATTAACGGTCTGCACTGACCCTTTCTTGTAAGACCCTATGCACACTCACTAAATGATACACTGAGTGTACAAAACATTAGGAACACCTTCCTAATAAAATACAACATAAAACCTGAACCAGCACTTGCACTCCCCCCTTCCTATGCTGAACAAAAATATAAACGTAACATGTAAAGTATTGGTCCCATGTTTCATGAGCTGAAATAAAAGATCCCAGACATTTTCCATACGCACAAAAAGCTTATTTCTCTCAAATGTTGTGCACAAATTGGTTTTTCATCCTTGTTAGTGAGCATTTCTCCTTTGCCAAAATAATCCATCCACCTGACAGGTGTGGCATATCAAAATGCTGATTAAACAGCATGATCATTACACAGGTGCACCTTGTGCTGGGGACAATAAAAGGCCACTCTAAAATGTGCAGTTTTGTCACACAACACAATGCCACAGATGTCTCAAGTCTTGAGAGAGCATACAATTGGCATGCTGACTGCAGAAATGTCTACCAGAGCTGCTGCCTAGATAATTGTATGTTCAGTTCTCTACCAAAAGCTGCCTCCAACGTCGTTTTAGAGAATTTGGCAGTACGTCCAACCGGCCTCACAACCGCAGACCACATGTAACCACGCCAGCCCAAGACCTCCACATCCGGCTTTTTCACCTGCGGGATCGCCTGAGACCAGCCACCCAGACAGCTGACGAAACTGAGGAGTATTTCTGTCTGTAATAAAGCCCTTTTGTGGGGAAAAACTCATTCTGATTGACTAGGCCTGGCACCCCAGTGGGTGGGCCTATGCCCTCCCAGGCCCAACCATGGCTGTGCCCCTGCCCAGTCATGTGAAATCCATAGATTACATTTACATTTTAGTCATTTAGGGCCTAATGAATTTATTTCAATTGACTGATGTCCTTATAAGAACTGTAACTCAGTAAAATTGTTGCATGTTGCGTTTATTTTTGTTCAGTATAGCTCTGACTCTACTGATAGCTACATTAGAGGAACATTTTTCTTTCTATGCCTGTGATATGTGGTTGTCCCACCTAGCTATCTTAAGATGAATGCACTAACTGTAAGTCTCTCTGGATAAGAGCGTCTGCTAAATGACAAAAATGTAAATTGAGTTGGTGTCTAAAGCGTTCCACAGGGATGCTGGCCCATGTTGACTCCAATGATTCCCACAGTTGTGTCAAGTTGGCTGGATGTCCTTTGGTTGGTGGACAATTCTTGATACACATGGGAAACGGATGAGCGTGAAAAACCCAGCAGCGTTGCAGTTCTTGACACAAACCGGTGCGCATGGCACCTACTACTATACCCCATTCAAAGGCACTTACATCTTTTGTCTTGCCCATTCATCCTCTGAATGATGCACACACACAATCATTGTCTCAAGGCTTAAAAGTCCTTCTTTAACCTGTCTCTTCCCCTTCATCTACACTGATTTGAAGTGGATTTAACAGGTGACATCAATAAGGGATCATAGCTTTCACCTGGTCAGTCTGTCATGGAAAGACCAGGTGTCCTTAATGTTTTGTACACTCAGTGTATACACACTATATCCACACTCACTCACACACATTGACACTCTCACACAAAACCCACACACATTCACATACACTACATACGCACACACACACATACCGACACAACACAAACATACACACACACACACACATTTTACACATTTGCTGCTGCTACTCTGTTCTTTATTTGACTCTTATCATGATGCCTAGTCACTTTACCCTGCCTTCATATACATATCTACCTCAAATACCTCGTACCCCTACACCTTGACCTGGTACTGGTACTCCCTGTACATAGCTCCATTCTTGTGTATTTTATTTTATTCCTCTTGTGTTACAATTTTTTATTATTATTTGTAAACTGCATCGTTGGGAAAAGCTTGTAAGCAAGCATTTCACGGTAAAGTCTACACCAGTTGTATTCAGCGCATGTGACAAATACAATTTGATTTGATTCGTAGTATAGAGCTCTGGCATGACAAGGAGTTGACATAACGCAAACAGATCTTGGACCAGGCTATAGAATTGTTGGCATATGCTTATTACTAGCCTACTATTTTACACTCGTTACATTGTTAAAACCATTTGTTGACCATTATCACAAAATGTATTCAAGCTTATTGACTACAAAATAAATAAAACAATTATCTATTGTAATAATAAAATCTATTGGTCTAGATTTTCTTAGGAAATTCAACATAGGTTGGCCACACAGTTCACTTGCATCTTGAGTCAAAGGGTTTGGTTTGTTAACATCTTGCATGCTTTTGCAATGTTTAAAAGGAGAAGTGTACTCGTATTGTACAGTACAATGATTGAATGTTTGAGCAGTTGTGTCATCAGTTGCAATAGGCTGTCTATTCTTTGTGGATATGAAAATATGATGGTTACAATATGTATTCCAATGCCTAATCAACATGTGCTGGGGAAGATATGAACCTCGTTAATGCTAGTAAATTGGTTAAACTAACAATGTCAATGTTAGGAAATGAGTTGAAAACCTTAGATAAACACTAGGGCTATTGAGTTATTGTACTTCAGACAAACTTGTGACATTTCATAGCTTTAGCATTTAACATTTCAGTTCATTTCTAACCAGGAAAACCCCAGTCTCTTCGTGGTGGGCCACCCCACCCCCCTACAGAACCATGTCCAAGTACCTGAGGCATTTCACCACGGTGGGTGATGACCACACAGCCCATTGGCACGATGAGGGGCTGCATGAGGCTAGAGAGGAGCTGGGACCAGCCACAGGACAGCTGCCCCACAGGGAACTCACCTTCAGAGACTCCCTGAAGAGACTCTACAGCTCCGACAGATTCCAGGTATGGAATGAGTGGAGTAGGCAATGCTCATACTATCTATCCAACACAGTTAGTCAGTGTTACCTTTGCTCAAATCAAATGTCAACTGTGGATGGGGAATATGTGTGTTTCTCAGTCTAGGCTGCAAATGTGACAGTAAATTAACTCCCATTCTCTTGTTGTATTTTGTGTTGTACTTTGTTGTCAGAAGGTTGGTCTTTACTGATGTTGGGTGTTTCGCTCTGGTTTGGATTGCTATGGTGTTGGTCTTCTCTGATGTTGAGTGTTTGCCTCTGGTTTAGATAGCTGTGGTGTGCCTGGTCATCCTGGATGCCATCTTTGTGCTGGGCGAGCTACTGATCGACCTATCAATAATCAAGTTGGCGCATGGGCACATTGCCCCTCAGGTGAGATATGGCCAAGTCTAGTCTGTCGAGATCACACTTTATATGCGTCCCAAATGGCACCCTATTCCTTAGTCCACTACTTTTTAACTGAGCCCTATAGTGCACTATATAGGGAATAGGTTGCCATTTGGCACACAGATCAAGAAATGCGTGACCCAAACCTTCTTACAACAACTCTGTCCTCTGTCCTTTCCCTCTTCACCAGGTCTTCCACTACCTGAGTCTGGCTCTTCTCACCTTCTTTATGGTGGAGCTGGCTGGAAAGCTCTTTGCCTACCGGCTGGAGTTCTTCCATCACAAGTTTGAGGTGTTTGACGGGCTGGTGGTGATTGTGTCCTTCATCCTGGACATTGTGTATATCGCCAGTGAAGATGCCTTTGACGGCATGGGCCTCCTGATCCTCCTCAGGCTCTGGAGGGTGGCCAGGATAGTCAACGGTGAGAGATTCCCCACTGTGGTAGTGTTCATTAGGCACTCCCTGGACATGTCCAATAACAAACACAGATTTTAAGTTTTCCATTGTGAAACATTTTAAAGCTTGCCCTAATGGTCCCGTGTAGCTCAGTTGGTAGAGCACGGCGTTTGCAACGCCAGGGTTGTGGGTTTGATTCCCTCGGGGGGCCAGTATGAAAAAAAAAAAAAAAAACATGTATGCACTAAGTCGCTCTGGATAAGAGCGTCTGCTAAATGACTAAAATGTAAATGTAATGAACACAACCTTTGTCACATACAGTAGCTAGCTAGGTCACCAATGTCACAAAATGCGTTTGTGTCCAACATGGCATGTTTTCTTCCACCACCCAGGAATCCTGGTGTCTGTGAAGACACGGGCCGATCAAAAAGTTCACAAGCTGAAGGAGAGCAACGATCATCTGGTCCAGCAAGTTAACGACCTACAAGAGCACAATGGCAAGATGGTGAGTTGGGCAGCCCAAGACAAGTTAAGGCATTTATATTATACATCTTATCAAGAGCATCAGTCAACAAACCCTGTTTTAACCCACCCTTCAATCCCCCCCCCCCCCCCCCCTTTTAGGAACAAGAGAACAATAAACTACGAGCTCTCCTCCGACAGCATGCCATTGAGTTCTGATTCAGGAAGAGGAACATGATGCCGTTTTCATTATCCTCTTATAGTGTCATTGGAATTGTTCAATAAACAAGTAAGGGTATATTCTAAAAAGTGTTCACCATCCATACACCATTTGTGTGAGTAATTCCACCATGACAGGAGCTTACACTGATAGATACTAGCCTGGTCCTAGATCCGTTTGTACTCTTGCCAACTCAATTGTTGTCATTGTCAAGCCAAACCTTTGGCATGACAATGAGTGAAAAGAAGTTGGTATGAAAGCACAAACACACTAGCGCTCAGGCTAGATAGATTCCACATCATGAGCCAATGTTAGGTCAACCTTCCAACCATTATCTGCATATTTAATTGATTAGTAGGATTCATATCATATGCCAGTTTCCTGCTTTGTAATAAACAAATCTAATTTGATATTTTTATATAAATGTATGAATTTATGTGCTGTGCCTGTATTCAAATAAGCAATGAATTGTCAGCTAACATGTTGTAAATAAGACCCTGCTAACAGTATTTGAGTACAACCAGAGAACCAACTGTCAGTGCAATATCAGTTTTGTTTTGACGCTACAAGCTTGGCCCAACTGTATTTGGGGAGTTTCTCCCATTCTTCTCTGCAGATCCTCTCAAGCTCTGTCAGGTTGGATGGGGAGCGTCGCTAAACAGCTATTTTCAGGTCTCCAGAGATGTTCGATCGGGTTTCAAGATCGGGCTCTGGCTGGGCTACTCAAGGACATTCAGAGACTTGTCCCGAAGCCACTCCTGCATTGTCTTGGCTGTGTGCTTAGGGTCAATGTCCTGTTGGAAGGTGAACCTTCGCCCTAGTCTGAAGTCCTGAGAGCTCTGGTGCAGGTTTTCATCAAGGATCGCTCTGTACTTTGCTCCATTCATCTTTCCCTCGATCCTGACTAGTCTCCCAGTCCCTGCCGCTGAAAAACATCCCCACAGCATGATGCTGCTACCACCATGCTTCACCGTAGGGATGGTGCCAGGCTTCCTCCAGACGTGACGCTTGGTATTCAGGCCAAAGAGTTCAATCTTGGTTTCATCAGACCAGATAATCTTGTTTCTCATGGTCTGAGAGTCCTTTAGGTGCCTTTTAGCAAACTCCAAGCGGGCTGTCATGTGCCTTTTACTGAGGAGTGGCTTCCGTCTGGCCACTCTACCATAAAGGCCTGATTGGTGGAGTGCTGCAGAGATGGTTGTCCTTCTGGAAGGTTCTCCCATCTCCACAGAGGAACTCTGGAGCTCTGTCAAGGCCCTTCTCCCCCGATTGCTCAGTTTGGCTGGGCAGCCAGCTCTAGGACGAGTCTTGGTGGTTCCAAACTTCTTCCATTTAAGAATAATGGAGGCTACTGTGTTCTTGGGGACCTTCAATGCTGCAGACATTTTTTGGTACCCTTCCCCAGATCTGTGCCTCGACACAATCCTGTCTCTGAGCTCTACGGACAATTCCTTCGACCTCATGGCTTGGTTTTTGCTCTGACATTCACTGTCAACTGTGGTACCTTATATAGACAGGTGTGTGCCTTTCCAAATCATGTCCAATCAATTTAATTTACCACAGGTGGACTCCAATCAAGTTGTAGAAACATCTCAAGGATGATCAATGGAAACTGGATGCATCTGAGCTCAATTTCGAGTCTCATAGCAAAGGGTCTGAATAATTATGTAAATAAGGTATTTCCGTTTTTTATTTTTAATACATTTGCAAACATTTCTAAAAACCTGTTTTCACTTTGTGTGTAGATTTATGAGGATTTTTATTTATATAATCCATTTTCGAATAAGGCTGTAACGTAACAAAATGTGGAAAAAGGGAAGGGGTCTGAATACTTTCCGAATGCACTGTGCCTGCCCTCTCTTCCGTCTGTCGGTCGTTTACACAAAAGGGAAGAAGAAGTCATAAGGCAGCCTGGCGTCGATAGTGGGCGAGGTCTTGAAGCCCAGCCGGCCGGCTGCAGACACAGGTAAGAAGGTCACGGAGCTGGTGATGGACATGACACGGCTGCCTCCAGAGAGTAACGCTTGAGGAAAAGGAAAAATAGCAATAAAACAGGGTGTTACATAAAGGTGTCATGGCACTGACCAGAGGTCTGGAAGATGAACTCTATTGTGCCATCACTTGGCAATATGTTTAAGACACAAATGCAGTTACTGTTGATTGGAGGGAATCTAACAATCTCTAAGGAATGTTTATTGTTCCATTACAGGGTAGATAATGACTTTGGGGAAGTGGACTCCATGTACATTTACATTACATTTTGGTCATTTAGCAAACACTCTTATCCAGAGCGACCTACAGTCAGTAAGTCAGACACTTAGCAGTGCTGTCACGATGTGGGCTGTGGTTGCTGTTAAGCACTAGTAAAACATCTTATACAAATACAAGCTGATAAAGTTAGATTGTTGTGTTTGCTAATGGTTGTTTTTAAGCACTTAGTGACAAATGTTTCTATAAAGAGCACTATACAAACAATGTTGTACAATCAATATTACATTGGGCATGTCAAATCCAAGCAATAAAACTCATGGATGCAACTGTTTATGTCAAATTGTTGCGTGTTCTACTTGTAGCCCTGGATGTCCTGAAAATAAAATGGTAAAACACTTCCTTGTGAGGCTAAATATAAGGACTGGGCATGCAGATAAACCCATTTTTGCTGGGGTCTCGGGACTGATAGGGTTAATCTACTATTTTGTGTTATCGTTGGTGTATGTTTAATGTACTTGTTGTTGTCTCAGTATCCCATTGAAAACAAGGCAATCCCTAAGCTTTTTCAAGTCACCATTATGCTTTCTAAACAAAGAAAGTACAATTTAACCACTGTATATGGGATAACGGGAACATCTACAGTGTCTTCAGAAAGTATTCACATCCATTTAATTTTTCCACATTTTGCTGTGTTACAGAATTTAAAATGGATTAAATTGAGATTTTTTGAAATTATATATTTTGAAATTTTTACAAATTAATAAAAAATGAAAAGCTGAAATGTCATGAATCAATAAGTATTCAACCCCTTTGTTATGGCAAGCCTAAATACGTTTGGGAGTAAAAATGTGCTTAACACGTCACATAAGTTGCATGGACTCATTCTGAGTGCAATAATAGTATTTAACATGATTTTTGAATGACTACCTCATCTCTGTACCCCGCACATACAATTATCTGTAAGCGGCCCCAGTCGAGCAGTGAATTTCAAGCACAGATTCAACCACAAAGACAAGGGAGGTTTTCCAATGCCTCGCAAAGAAGGGCACTTATTGGTAGATGGGTAAAAAAAAAAGCCAACATTGAATATCTCTATGAGCATAGTGAAGTTATTTATTACACTTTGGATGGTGTATCAAATACACCCAGTCACTCGAAAGATACCAGCGTCCTTCCTAACTCAGTTGCCGGAGAGGAAGGAAACCACTCAGGGATTTCACCATGAGGCCAATGGTGACTTTAAAAAAGTTACAGAGTTTAATGGCTGTATTAGAGGAAAACTGAGGATGGATCAACAACATTGTAGTTACTCCACAATAATAACCTAATCAACGTGCATTCCATAGGAAGTGCACCCCTATTGATAAAACTAACACAAATGTATGGTTGTATTGGAGATGTGAGGCATGCACTTCTATGTTTCCGTTCCACTCTCTGGGTGATTCCGACTGTGTATCTCTCTTAGTTGGTCAGGATATCAACCCTGATAATATGGTCGTTAACCCATTAGATTTGAATGAAGCGAACAATAAATATAATGATTGTGTTGATCCAGATTCACATTTCCTGTAGTTTACCAGAGATGAGTCTATCACTTGTGATTACTATAATGTTAAGCAATTTAACAACCTGTATAGTAGTTTATCTAATTCCAAGACAAGCTTATTTTCTACCTTTTCATTTGAACGTTCGCAGTCTTCCTAAAAATCACGACCACCTTGTTCATTTTCTGTCTTCTCTCAGTCATGAATGTTCCATTGTTGCCCTTTCAGAAACTAAATTGAGTAAATAGTCAGCCATGCTTTATGACATGTCTCCTTATAATGCTGTTCCCCACTGTAGAACATCTAGAGTGGGTGGAGGAGTATCCATGTGTGTTCATAAACGTTTTCAATTCTTTGTAAGAGAGGACCTTGCACTTACATCTGATAACATTGATGTTGAATCTCTTTTCATAGAAATTCCCTCCTGTTCATTTCTTGGTGGTAAAAAAGTGGTAATTGGATGCATTCTGACATTGATAGTTTCATTGATATCCTTACATCAACCTTGGATTTGATTAATAATGAAGATAACATTTGTTTTCTATTGGGTGATTACAACATCAACTTATTTAAAAGTGAGAACAACTCACTCACATCTGACTTTTTGAATACTTTATACTACAGCTATCTGTAACCCCTCATCAATAAGCCCACAAGAGTGACCAGTTCATCTGCGACCCTTATTGATAATATGTTTACAAATTATTTGAATAATGTGGCTAATACAGGTATACTTTATACTGACATTTCTGACCACTTTCCAATTTTCCACTTCTCTTTGGCAGTTGGAAATGAACAGATGGGAATGATTAATAGAATATTTAACAAAAGTAATTGTGAATGCTTTAAGATGTTGATTGATGATATTTCATGGGGAAATGTTTATAATCAGGCTGATGTGGAGTCTGCTTACCAGACTTTTCTCACATCTTTCAATTCTGTATTTCACCACTGCTTTCCCTTGGTTAAATCATATAACAGAGCAGCAGAAGGGTTCTGGAAACCTTGTTTTACAACCAGTCTAAAAAAAATCCTCAGTTTTGTATAAAACGCTCCTCACAAATCCCTCTCCCCTGAATTCTGCAAATTACAAAAAGTATAAGAACAAATTTACTCACCTACCTCAGATATCCCCCAAAATATATTTTACTATTAAATTCCAAGAAGCCTTAAATAATATAAAATCAACATGGAAAACCATCAATCAACTGTTGAATAAGAAAAAGGCACCTACAACTGTCCCATCTCAATTTATTGTTGGAAATAAGACCTACAGTGATCCTGATGTTACTTCATGAGAATATAATAACTTTTTTGTGAATGTGGGTTCCTCTCTGTCAAAGAAAATATAGAAAACTGATGGAAATCCCTTGGATTACACTAAGGGACATTTCCCTTCCATGCTTCAGTTTGATACTCCTGATGGAATGGAGGTGATGGAGGTAATTGGTAACTTAAAAATATCAGGAGCAGGTCATGATGAGATTGGTGCCTCTTTGGTGAAATCAGTGTCTTCCTCGATTACTGAGCCTCTAATGTATATCTTCACCAAATCTATGCAAACTGGTATTGTTGCTAAAGATTTGAAAATTGCCAAAGTTATCCCCCTCTATAAATCTGGGAATCCAAGATCTTCTACAAA